CAGTTAGTTACACGAATTCAGATATGGGAAGGGTTTAAGAGTTTTAAGAGTTTTTAAGAGTTTTAGCCAAATGTTTTATAAGATAGTATAGATATAAAAGATAATAGAATAATTTATTTTTGGTTTAATATTATAAATTTTATAAAGATAATAATGAAGTATTCTGTTAGAATTTAATAATTATATTAATTATATTTTAGATTTTTTATATTTAAAATGAGATGTTTATCCTGTATTTGATTGTGTTTATCTACAGTTAGTTACACGAATTCAGATATGGAAAGAGTTTAAGAGTTTTTAAGAGTTTTTAAGAGTTTTAAGAGTTTTAGCCAAATGTTTTATAAGATAGTATAGATATATACACACACACATACATAAATACATACATATATATATATAGACCAAATAAAATACAAACCACCTAAATGTTACACACCATACAAACCAATAACAACAATCTATGCAGATTATCAAATAAATGTCAACAATGTGGATTAAACCGGTTCCGGAATTTACTCTCAACACTATCTGGAACTGATTTGGCAACCACCTAAAATTTCAAAATACACAAAATCAAGACTCGAGAAGTTTAACGATTACATACTATGAATCCAAATGAACACACAATTTGAAAAAATACGAATCATTCTATATGAAGAATTTAGATGAAGAATGAAGATGACGCGTGCTTTCAAGATGTAAACCTAATATAAATTTGGTATTAGAAAATAATAATTATTTTTTTATTGAAAAATACCGGGTACCCGGCGGGTAACAGTTCCAAAAAATTGAGAACCGGAACCGGAACCATTCTTAATCGGTTCCGTATTTTAGGAACCGGAACCGGAACCACTCATATCGGTTCCGGTTCCAAGGCGGTTCCGGTTCCGGTTCCGGTTCCGGTTCCGGTTCCATAGCCGGGTACCCGGTTCCGCTGCTCACCCCTACTTAGAATGGAGCCACAAGGGTTAACGTAGCAGCAAACCCAGGCCTTGACGCCATAACGAGTTATCTCAGACTATGCCCAAATACTGCAACCACCAAACATACTATTTTCTATCAAGTATTCTTTGGCCGTTATCTAGGGGGTGTAAATGATGCGAGTCAAGCTCGAGTATCAATATATTCGAATCAAACTCGATAGTCATTTCTCAAGCTCAAATCGACTTAAAAGTTCACGAGTAGTTAAAAACTAAACTCGACTCGAACTCGATTGCAATTTTTTAAACTTGAGCTCGAACTCATTTAAAGCTCGAAACAAGCTCGAACTGCAACTCAAATCAAGCTCGAACCAAGTTCATCCATTGAAATTCATGAAATTTTAGGGTTTTTTTTCTTATATAAATCTTAAGACTTAAAGATATTCCCTTAGTTTTTATAAAACTAAAAGAATAACTTGAAACTTCATCATCAAAAAGATAAAATTAGAAATTTCATTTACATCCATATCACTTTATAACATTTTTTCTCCATTCCTTTACCATCTCTCTTCCAATATGAGACAATTTCACCAACACTTTTATAGTTTTTGTCTTTTTTTAATTGTAATTTTAATAAAAAAATAAATGATTAGTTTTTATAATTAAAAAATGCATAATTTTATTCAAATATCTAAAAATATAAGACATTTTTATTATTTACATTTTTACAAATTTTATTATAAAAATTGATTATATTTTAAAACTAATTATACTTAAAATAATCGAGTATCTCACGAGTTTTTCAAGTCGAGTATTGGGTAGACTCGTTAAGATGTCGACTCGAGCTCGAGTACGAGCCGAGCCTATTCAAGTCGAGCTTTGACCGAGTCGATCTCGAGTTGTCTCGTATCGATTACACCGCTACCGTTGTCCATGACCCCATAAAATTAATCAGACACCCACAGTTAACAAATAAAAAAAAGAGAGCATTCAATTGAATAAAATATATCTATAAAACAGTGTCCATATTAGAGTTAAGGCATGCTGTTGCACTCAAAAAGGATATAAATAAGGAGGTGAGGATGGTAACTTTGATGAGAGGAATAAATGCATAATGAAACAGTGATGATCACTCAAAATTTATAACACAATTTTCTCCCTACAAGAACAGATTAGATTACCTGATTGATTTGGCAGTGCCTCCTAACACAAACTCACTCAAAAATGCATTCACTTTGATTTTCCTTTACTTGAAGATCCTGATTTCCCTTTACTTGAAGAACCCCCTTTCTTCGATGATCCCTTCGATGCATTTTTGTAAGGGCTTTTCTTCACTTTTAACTTGCTCGACATCGCTGACGACTTGCCTTGCTGGTTTCGTCGTTTCTTGTCGCTCTTCACATTGTACATGTCCACGGCCTATTTAATTCCAAAATGTTATTAACACAAGAATTTCATTTGCATGAAAAATTATATAGCAAGTTGTCACTACACCAATTTTCAGCGTCTTTTTCACACCGTACAACTATCCAATGAAGGATTTTCTACGACTGTTGTTGAAATTTTGTTGCAATGGCAACTACCCGATGCTCCCAAACCAAGTAAACCATGTAAATCTCACACAGAATGAGGTATGGGGAGGGTAAGATGTAGACCAGGTGATGAATCTAGGAAATTTGGTGATGGTCGGCATAAATCAATTACGTACTATACTTTATAATAAAATTTAAATAGAATAGTCTAAAAATGAGAAAACTAGGCTTTTATATGTAATAATATAATTTATAAACTGTGGGGGTCAAAAGCAAGGCAATTTATATATAAAAAGTGAAAATTCATGGAGTGTCAGCCGACCCAGCTAGACGTTACCTTTACCCCAAGGTGTAGAGAAGTGTTTCTGAAAAGACCCTCGGGTAGTAAAAAAGGTTTTGAGAAAATTATTTTGTGAAAAAAGTTGTTCTGAGAGTTTGACATACGGTTGATAGAATACAGTTATACCCCATTGAATCAAATCTAAGAGTTGCAAGATACTTTGATGATAAAAGAACAACAATCAAAAGGGCGTTGAGGTGGCACGGGGCTACAAATCAGTCTTGGTGGTTTAAAGCATACCTTGGAAACATTGAAGATTTCATGGGAATTCTTGGCCATTAACTTGTTTAGAATTTTGTCAGTTTGTTGCTTCTCTAATGAACCCATTCCAGATCCTTCAACCACGGGTAAAAACTGAAACATCAAAGGGCAAGTTTGTTATGATCAAGATGGGTGTGAAGTTTTGGATGGAACATCCAGAAGAACCGACTTTGGGAGTTGTTGGTGTACAAACCTTCCGGTATTTCTTATCATGTTTAGGGGGCTTTTCACCAGCCAACTTTTTGTCGAATTTACCACCACTAGCGGTTGAAGTTCCTGCCATTCCTGCTACATTTTGTAGTTCATCCTTGCTAACTTTTCTTGGTGCAGCTTGAGTTCCTGTTATGGGTAATGCCGTAGCTGCAAGTTGAACATGACTGCCATAGAATGGGGAGAGGGCGGTCAGATCTTGATTGAGATACTTTTATTCATGCATGATTCACGTATAACATCCCTGCAGAATCTAAACAATAATGCTGTCTACATAACCAAAGTTGGTAAATTTGACTCTGTTTAGATAATAATCCAAGACTATTTTGTTCCTGTGGGAAGTCCTTTGGAACAACTCCATAGCATCATATTAAATGAGATAAATCAAGAGCATGTGTTCTGATGCTAAGGAAGTCAAATGGTCAAACGATCTGGCACCAAGGAAAAGAGGGGTCCATTAGGGTAGGGCATTACGCAAAAGGAGTGTTCCAAACTTATCACCATGGAAGAACATTATGATGTTCTGCATATGATGGATAAGCAAGTCCATATCAAATAAATGCTACCATTGGAACTTTGTTTTCACCTTCCAAAAAAAATGGAACTCTTGCTTTTCAACTTTAATAACATAAGTACATACCTCATGAATGACTAGTGTGACGGGTATGCAACATGCAGAACAATGTATTCTATGACCATTTGAACTAAACCATAGAAGGTATGTATGGCAAAGAGGCCAAACCTTGGCAGAGCACCAACTTTTGCTGCCTCTTTAAGATTATACAGGCGATTCTTCTCTTGCTTTTCAACTCGCTGCTTCTTTTCTGATCGTCTCGTGGCAAAAGGGTCTACACCTGGCTCTGCAAGATCAAAATTACATGAAGTATAGAAAATGTTGCTTCATCCAACAAAATGAAGGGGGAGTGGGGGTGCTGCCCATGCATTCTTCTATTCATGCACAGGGGAAATTTTGCACAACGTTTCTAAGTACTTGCGTAAGAAACATTAAGTGCAAGATAGATAAACTGAATAAAAACATTAATATTTACCATCTGTCATCTTTGCTTCAATGATTGGAACGTCATTGTCATCGTTTACCCGATCATAACCATAGCGGCGCTTCCAAGAACTAGTTTGCTCATCAAAGACAAGTTTGTCTTTCTTGCGGTTCTGGATACCTGAGGAAGGGATCAATGCATCAGCAAGAATTATGGTTTTACCCAAGGAAAGAAGCGCAGATTGTTATTTACCAACCTTTCTTTTTGGCAAAAACTTCCCACTTTGTCGGAGGTGCAGGCTTTGGAAGCTGCAGGCATTAAGCAAAACGGGTGATAAACAAGTGACAGTAAGGAAATAAAGAAAGCATCAAGGTGGTAAAGGTAAAGTTATGACTGCAGTCATGGGCTTTAGAGTGAAAAGTCTGCATTGATTTTCAAATAGAACTCTGCTATGTTGAGCTATTGCTCTGCAAACTTGCATTTGTAGTTTGTCATACATAAAAATGATAAATGATGCAAGTCACAAGCAGAAAGTCACTATAAATGCAAAACCAATCATCACATCTAATGTATAGCATATTTCTTAATTTTTAATGTTATAAAAAGAGCATCACAGTAATACTGATGCATATCGAATGAGATGTAAGCAAACGAATACAAAATGCCATAAAGTGTGGGCAGTAGATTTTATTATTGGAGCAAAATTCCCAGAACTATGTATGCTATCTAGCATTGGGCCACAAACATATAATGGATCACTGTAACAGATGAATCAAACAAGTAGAACAAGGCTTCCCATAAGATGGGACAGAATGTCACAAATGTTAAACAAAGTACTACACGTAGAAAGTTAAAATGAAGCTTTATGCTTGCCCCAAAGTAACTTCAATAGGTTTATTTCCAAAACCCCAAATGTTAATAAGAATCTTCTATGTTTTTAGGAAGAAAATGACAACAAACAAAGGAGAGAGAGCTCATAAGCCCAAAAAAAAAAAACAAATACTAATGGTAACATTGTGCATGAAGAACAAGACATAGATTTCACCGGTCAAGCTACTGTGTATGTTTATGCAAATAACTACACAGGAAGAGAATGACTCAGATGTAAGAGAAATTCTGAAAGAAAGAACATGCAAACCAAGCATCCTTTTGCACATATAATATTAAAAACATCTCATAATACTGTGTGCAAGTATACAGAAACAAAAAAGGTAGACATGGAAGGGGAGGGAAACAACATACAGGTTTTTCTCTAGGTAATTTTGTAGTTGGTTGGGGTAAAGGAACAATGGGCCCGGATGCATCTTCAGTTGAAGGCAAGCTAAAAAGAGAATCGGCAACGGCCTGAATTAACTTGGTAGCATGTGTAATGCACTCCTTTACAAGATCCTCCCTAATCAAGAGAACAACATAGCACCAAATAAGTACAGACAGAAAATAATAATACAAAACCAAAACACATAATTGTATCTTCCAGAAATAAAAAAAGTTTAATCGTTAATGATACTACAAATGGTATCGCGTTGCATCAAAATAGAAGAATCCGACAGGTTAGCATTCCTATACAAGCTTGAAAAATTACTCTCAATTATTGGCTTATTGCTGTTGAAGTTTCTTTAAAACTAATCCACCATAGAAAATTCCTTACCAATCCCCATATCAACAGCTTGCTGACTATTTTGACCTTATAGCAATGAGTTTTCTTTTGCAGACATGGGATATATCCATAAGTTTGTCATAGTCATTGAGAAGCATAACCAGTGGGATTTCTTTAAGCATGTTCCTAAACGATTTCACGTCTATTAGCATTACCCAGCTCATACCCAACTTAATAGTCCAATCACCTACTCAAACAATAAAATTCCATCCTAACTTTTTTAGTGCATGATAAGGACTTGGAACTGTACTTGACTATCTCAACGCTACAACTAACAACCATATTTGCTGTTTTCGAGAGCTTCATGATGCCCATTAAATTTAAATCTTACACCTTCAAAAAGAATACTTCCACAAGTCCTACAAGTATCTCTCATTGTTTTTGTGAGGAACGAAGTAGATTATAGATCTTACTTCATTCAATTTAGCCAAACCCTTTACAATAACGTTTTCCTACGGTTCACACAACCAACAGACTAAGGAAATTGCAAGGGTTTCAATCAGTATTCTTAACCAGAGCATATGCAAGATTCTTTTTCACGGCAAATACTCATACGTCCATGATGTCTCCACTAAGACTTAAATCACAACTTATGGTTAGTCGAATCGAATTGCTACCGTTTGGCCAAAGGGCTCCTGGCAAAAACAATAATTTAAAGAGTAAGAAGGCGAACCTTTTATCGGGAATAGATTGGAACTGATGTTGAGGATCGAATGCCGTCAGATTACCTAGGTCAATTTGGTAGCCTTCTTGCTGTTCCGCCATCTCTGCTTTCTGTCTAGGGTTTGTGCTGTGGGTTTTGGTTGTTAAATGGAAGGGTTTGAGAGAGGTTTTTAGGTTAAAGTTTGCAGTGATGATAAATGTGAAAATTGCAACTCATCCCCTCTCATTAAAGTGAAATTACAACTCATCCCCTCTCATTAAAGTGAAATTACAACTCATCCCCTCTCATTAAAGTGAAATTACAACTCAAGCCCTCTTATTAACTATAATTTCAACTCAACCCTTTTAATAAGACCTTGGCTTTTCCAACCGAAATTTAAGGGTGCTTAAAAACCCCACCAACCCAACCCAACCCAACGCAAAATAAATAATTTGAAAATATCCGATATCTAATCGAATTGTATTTTTTTTTTATTAATCTGGATATCCAACCCGCTAAGTGAGCCGACTAATCCTAAGGCGACCACCTGCTTTGCAGATAGCCCTGAGTCACCGCATTTGGCCACGAAGGTTCAAATGTGGTCACTCCGGGCTATCTGCAAAGTAGATGATCGTTTTGGGATTAGTCGTCTCGCTTAGCGGGTTGGATATCCAGGTTAATCAAAAAACAAAAAGTATTAGGTTAATATTAAATTACTTTTATTTGAGTCTAACCCAACCTGATGAACCTAAGAAACTCGAATCATTTTATTTATTGGATTTAATATAATTGTATTCTATTAAAATATACATTAGATAATTACACCATCACGTACCCTCTTTATATACATATATTTCCAATCTATTTTTTTATCCATATATAACTTCTTTGTATATATGTTCATTAACTATGAACATATATATCTATACTATATTATAGAACATTTGACACAAACTCTTAAAAACTATTTTTATGCATGAAGTATTGTTTATTGATGCATATTACTTACAATTCAAAACTACACGTAAATTATGCGTAATTTCAACTTATTAAAGTTTCATATTTGAATACATTTAACTGACTGCAGATAAACATAATGAAATAAAGAATAAACATCTCATTTTAAATATAAAAAATTTAAAATATAATTATGATCATTATTGAGTTCTATCAAAATATTTAATTATTATCTTTATAAAAAAATATTATTAAACTAAAAATAAAAAGATGATTAAAGAAATACATAAAAAATAAGACTTTTTAAATAGTTAGTTATTAATATCAATATTTTTTTTCAATTTTTTATGATATCTTGGTATTAATATTTTATTTAAAAATAAAAAATTATCGTTTTTTCAAAGCCACATAAAACCGTATTATAATATCAATTGAGACAAAAAAAACATTAAAATCAAGATGTATCTCGCGGCATTGTACGAATACCCTTCTAGTATATGAAAAAGTTAATTGAATGTGATATACTTAATATTTGAAAAATATGGATAAATTATATCAAATAGTTGATGATGAAAAAGAAATTATGAGTAAACTAGAAAAAAATAATATATTCAAGATTGGGAGAATCTTTTGATGTATCAAAATATTAAACCGACCAATCCATACAGTTTGGTTTGGTTTGGTTTGGGTTGGATTGGGTTGTATTTTGATTTGGGTTGTCTTGAATTACACTTTGATCTGGTCGAGTTGAGTTGCAATTTTTCAAACCGCAAGCATTGTGTTTGGTTGTTTAAATGTCTTCAACTCAACTCATGAACATCCTTATATTTACATTATTCTCATAATAGGATATAATAATGTTCAATGATTAATGCTAAATTATAACATTTTTATTTATTTGAGATATATTTATTAATTTGTCATTTTACTATAATCATTTTTTGTATATATTAATTAATTTAAATAAATTAGTTAAATTTATATTTATATATTTTATTTAACCATACAATATTAATTTCTTTTAGTTACTTGTATATCTCATTATAACAACACACTTAATTTTACTATTTTTTAAATTATTAAATCTTCAACCAATAAAAACAAAATACGTATCAAAATTAAAATTTTCCGAGTTAAAATAAGGGGGCGTTTACTAAACACTTACCTGGTAAGTACTTACCGGATAAATTTCCTCATCGGATGAACATGAGAAGGGTCAAGAATCTTACGCGGTAAGTGAGGATGACGACTCTTACCCAGGTAAGCGCTTACCCACTAAATTGTTGCGTTCGATATGTTTTAATATACTAAAATCTTACGCATCAAAATAAATAATAATGTTGACTTCTATCGGTAAACACTTATCGGGTAAGCAATTGGGTAAACGGCCCTTAAGTTTCATCAAAGTGTGCTTAGTGTAATTCAGCATGAGCTATTTTTCACCCACCAATAAGCATTTTAGCACATTTATTTAACGCTTTTGGACATTAGTTGAAGATGATTTGTTGCTATATTATGGCACTTTGACTCTTCAATCTATCAGTTGGGGGTAAAAACAAATATTTTCGATTCCAACACTTTTAGGGTCGTGAAACAAACGTTTAACATGTAAGCGTTTACTGACAAGAATAACATCATTTGCTTTATCGAGTAACATTTATCGGTCATCAAAATGAATTGTTAGTAAGCGTCTTTTACCCGATAAGCACTAACTGGGCAATTCATCACTTATTAGGTAAGATTCTCGGTCCTAGCTATGCCTCTTATCGAGTAAGGTTCTTGGTCCTTATCATACTCACGAGGTAAACGCTCACCTAGTAAATGTTTGGTGAACGACCCCTTAATCTGAACAAGATATCATGGTAATTCCTGTGATTCAAACATTTAATTTTAAAGAATTCTCAAAATTTCCTCCTTTTTACTTTATTCATTTTGAGATGAAAAAATAACTTAAAAAAAACTCTAAAATCTCAATTTTCTTAGATTTGAGAGTTTTAAAATGATTGAACTAATCAAACAATGCAAATAAATAGTATCGGTTTTGAGCACTTTGAAAGTTAAAGGTTTATCGTTAAATTACAGGACGAGCACAGTCAAAACTTTCATTCTTCTTATAAAAGGGGAACACAGACCTCATATTCAAACACGGGTTTGATTCACACTCCATGTTCTGATAAATATTTACAATTCGAAAAGAGGAAAACGTAGTCTTTGAGAAAACGCCTACCCGTCACAAGAATACCGACTACAGTACCTATTATCCAAAAAAGAATTCTTCCAATAATATTGGTCGTTTACCCCCATTGCCCTCCACATTTCGTCAAGTGGCCATGCCGGAGACATAAACAATCGTGGATGATTGTGAGATGAAATCATTCCAAATAGACAAATTGAGAGAATATATGGAATGATTATTCTATTATTTCAGTTCTCAATCAAGTCCGACAATGAATTTTTCAACAGACCTGCAAAGTGCCACAACAACCTCCGTAGTTGTTTAAACGAGCTATATTTACATATTATCAGTGCCACTGTAGGCATATTAGGGACAATTAAATAGATAACTAGGCATTAGTCTTTTTAAGCAATATGCATGAAATAAAGACATATTTTACATTTTTTATTACACATTGTATTTTTTTATTTATTAATTTGGATATCCAACCCGCTATGTGAGCCGACTAATACCAGAGCGACCACTTGCTTTGCAGATAGCCATGAGTTACCGCATTTGAACCTCCGTGGCCACAAGGGGATTTTTATTTCTCATTGGATTTGAACCTGATACCTCCTGATACTTTTGACTTTTGGAGTCAAACTCAAACCAATCAGGCACCACCCTTGTGGTTTACATATAGTACTTTTATTTCTACTTATTACATCACTGTATTTTTAAATTATTTCTTATTAAGGAATTATACTTTGAAAATTTACTCATCATGAAAAGAGTGAATTACACTTATGGTCCCATGGTATGCTCAAATTTTGTAATTGGTCCAAAAACAAACTATCTATACTGATTCTTCCTGACTTTTAAATTTTATAACACTCAAGATCTCGCGAGTTAACACCGTCAACTAACAACTGTTAAGAGGGACAAATCAATTTTTAGGCAAACTACAAGGACCAAAAGTGTAATTCAATCTAAAATAAATTATGAACCTCATTTTTTTAAAAAGAAATTCTTTATTAAAAATAGAGTTACATCCAAATTTAGTTCACTGGTTTATATAAATTAACAAGTAAGGTCCCTGAAAAGAATTATTAACAAGGGACGTTCGTATAGTTTCATTTTAAATAACGATTTCAATTAAGTTTCCATCAGTGAAAATTTCAATAATGGATTTGGTCCATCAAATTACTTTTCATTTTATAACAGATAACATATAACTTGAAGCTTAACAGATAACATGTCAAGGATTTTACCATCCTCTGTTTCAAGCTTAACAATCTCCTCAGTCCCTCCCAAATATTTCGATCCCGTATGAGCGGTCCTCATCTTTCGCTCTCCAGTTCAACAAATGATTTGATGCAAGTCAAGTAAACCATATTGAAACAACGAGATACATCTTTATTTTAATGTATCGTTTTTTTTTTTATCTCTATTGATATAGAACGGTTTATATAGTTTTGATAAAGATTATGTTTTTACTTTTGAATAAAAATATATTTGAAGATATAAAAATTTGAAAAACAATATAGATATTAATATCAATGAATTATTTAAAAGTTCTTATTTTTTTGTACAATTTCTTTAATTCAATTTTTTATTATAATTTAATTTACATATAATAGCGAAGTAATTTATTTTTTGGATTTAACAATATAATTTTTTTATAAAGATAATGATTTTGTTAGAACTCAATGATTATTCTAATTATATTTTACATTTTTAATATTTAAAATAAGATATTTATCCTGTATTTGATTATGTTTATCTGTAGTTAGTTATACGAATTCAAAATGGAGCTTTAATAAGTTGTACTAACGCACAATTTACTTGTAATCTTAAATTTTAAGTAATATGCATTAATAAACAGTAGTTTATGCATAAAAAAATGTTTTTTAAAAGTTTTTTTTTTTTGAAATGCTTTATAATAGAGTATATAGATTTTGAGACAAATAGAGTCAGATATTTAAATAAAGGTTACTTCACAAGCTATATAATAATATTTGCCACCAGAAAGTGTTCTATAAAAATGAAAAAAACTAATAGATTTTTTACGTCAACAATATATTATATATAAATATACTATGACATATGAACTTGTGTCATGTCATTTCAATTCAAATCGGTATGTTAATATAGCTATAATGGATAGACTTTCCAAAACATAATGCCTTGATAAAAAATATATAGATTAATCGGTTCAATGGGTTAACTATTTTTTAATCGTCGTAGTTAGACAAACCATAGAACAAAATAGGATCAAAGCAAAGTATATATATATTTTTTGATTAACCTGGATATCCGATCCGCTATGCGAGCCGACTAATCCCAGAGCGACCACCTGCTTTGCAGATAGCCCAGAGTCACCACATTTGAACCTCCGTGGCCACAAGGGGACTTTTATTCCTCATTGGATTTGAACCTGTGACCTCCTGGTACTTTTGACCTTTGGAGCCAAGCTCAAACCAATCAGGCACCACCCTTGTGGTTAAGCAAAATATATTTCAATTGCCTTCAAAGGCTTTCACAACCACAAAGGTGGTGCCTAACTGGTTTGAACTTAGGCTCCAAAGGTTAAAAGTGCCTGGAGGTCTGAAGTTCAAATCCAAGAAGAAAAAAAAATCCCGTTGTGGCCAAGGAGGTTCAAATGTGGTGACTCCGGGCTACCTGCAAAGCAGGTGGTCGTCCTGAAATTAGTCGGCTCGTATAACGGGTTGGATATCCATGTTAATCATATAAAAAAAGGCTTTCACGATTTGCTTTGAATGAAATTTGAAAATGTAGCATAAAAAAGGGATGGTTCTTTGATGTAAGATCCCTATAAATACAAACCAAAATGAACCTTCTGCATTCAGACACCTATCTTTGAGTATTACATATGGTCAATAAGAAAATCTATTTAGGAACCGTAAATATCTCGAGAATCGTAAAACCAACCATTCATGATGAGTATGCCCACAAGAGGCTAAAACTATGTTTAATGATGAACCAACCCGACCGGATCACTCATTAAAAACTATGTTGTACTACACATAAGATACAAAACCCTTCTCCTAAAAAGCCGATTAGCACGAATGCATAACAAGGCTCGATATCTTTCAATCTCCGTTCTTCATGGACTCCGTGTAAAATATCAAGGTTTAGGTTTATCTTCTTCTAATAGTAAATGTACTATAGACTGGATAACGCTGTTCTCAGCTATGTTTCCCGTCTGCAAATAACAAGACAAAGAAAACTGTAATCAGCAAACACATTAGGAACACCAAAACTCGCACTTCACCATAACGAGACACGTGTATGTATGATCCATTAAAATCACATTCAAATGAACCAGAAAACGTACAACCGAATCATTTGGTCACTAGTTAAGACCCCAAACAGACACAAACCTACCTCTATCATGTGAAAATTGTCGTAGGATCTCCTCATGAAACACATTCCTTTTTATTGAAGTTCTCGTTTATATCACTTTATCTACCCATTACCATAACTAATAAACCGACCTTGGTTTAAAAATGCACGCATAATGCGCTCTGATGCGTGATGCGCCGGAGGAAACGCATCAGATGGGCTGATGCGTTGCGATTCCATGATGCGCTCGCATCACCTACGCATCACACGATGCATGCATCACCTATGCATCAGCGCATCCTGTATGTTTCATGTTAGGGCTCCCTTTTTCAGTTTTTAGTTGGGCTTTTTAGTTGATTAAAATAGAACGTGAGACTGAATGGTGACCTAATAGAAGAAGCAGAAGTCGCACTCGCATATCAATCAATGAGGGAGATGAACCCGTGTTGGGGTTTGATGATGCTGATCTTGGGGAGTATTAGTTGGTCACTTGGTCATTTAGTTTAGGGATTGGGGACTATTAGACATTTACTTGTGTTCTTCATGGTAGTAGTTTGTGTGTTCTGTTATTCCGATTCACGAACTTTTTAAGATTCTAATGCCACTTTTTGAACTACTTTATGTTATAAATGAAGTATTTTGATAGGAAGTATTTTTAAGGTAGAAATTGATATGTAGAATTAATTTATAAACATTTTTTGAATACCATCACGTCGCATCACGCATCACGCATCAGCGTCCGGGACCCTTACCGCCTCGGATCTCATCGCGCTTTTTAAAACCAAGAAACCGACATATTCCCCTGTCCTGTCTTTATTGAAGGGCATCTTAAAAAACGGTTGACTGTGAAAACATCAATTTCCATGGGAGGGAGTATGCTTTTTGTTAAAAGATACAGAAACAAAAGGCAAGTTGGTAGAATTTTCTAGCGAGTACCTGTGGCTTCCTAATTAGCTCCTTCAAAATTGAATGAAGAGTTAGCCGAAGTTCCTTGAAGAGGACAGCAGTTTGAGCTGGTGCAGCCATTTTCAACCAACCATCTATCGTTACAAGACCACTCTGCAAAATACAAGAACACAAGACTATCAACTTAAACCATTTATAAAATCTAGTAGTTACTTAAATCCCACTTCATAGATTAGCAGACATTTTTTTAAATGTAAATATGATATGCATTCGTTTTATAATGTCAAAAACAATATTTTCAACGCGTATCACCATATTTTGTTACCAATGTTTGAAGAATCAAGTCCTTTGAGCAAATTGCGTATTTTTATCACATGGGCAATAAATCATTGGTATTGTAGTATATTTTCAACTTGCATCATAACTTTTGGTCGTTTTTGCTTTGTAAAATCAGATGGCAGAAGAACGGAGAGATAACTATGCGCTGCAGCTTCAGGCCATCTCGAGATTTTTGAGATATTCTTGGAATATGCCTCCAACCAATGAATAGCCGGAGGAGATCTCGAGGATTGCCATGTGCTTTCTAGCTGATGCTTTACTCCCCTCCCCAAACCTCTTTTGATGGTAAAAGCCCTTTTGTATTGTACAGGATGACACCCCATTCTCCCAACATTCCCAACAAACTCTTGCATGCTTTGTTTGGCATTTTTTTCTCCAACCTTTGGAGGGTCTCTAGATTTCGGCTACATATCTATACTATATTATAAAGCATTTGACAAGATCTCTTAAAAACCATTTTTTATGCATGAAGTACTGTTTATTGATGTATATTACTTAAAATTCAAGATTACAAGTAATTATGCATAAATACAACTTATTAAAGTTCCATGTTTGAATTCAAGTAACTAAATGCAGATAAACATAATAAAAAACAAGATAAATTTCTCATTTTAAGTATAAAAAATCTAAAATATAAATAGGATAATCATTGAGTTCTAACAGAATACTTAATTATTATCTTTATAAAAAAATTTATATTACTAAACCAAAAATAAATTACTTTGTTATTAAACCTAAATTAAATTATAACAAAAAATGAATTAAAGAAAATACACAACAAAACTAAAACTTTTATATTTTCTTTTCAAATTTTTATAAAGTCTTCAATTCTATATTTTTCTCAAAACTACATAAAACCGTATTATAACATCGACAAATTCAAAGAATAAAACGAAACATTAAAATCGAGATATATCTCGCTGCATTGCGCGAGTACCATTCTAGTATATAAATAAATATTTAAAATTCAGTTTTTTCTTCTCCTATACCTTATTTCAGGATTATACCTCATTTATTTTTCGCACTTTAATTTTCTGTCTTTAAATTATTGCATGTTAATTATTCATCGACTTATATATTTCGTTATATTCTCGTAATTATTTTAGTTGACTTTATATTTCTAGTAACTTTTATTTTTACCGTCATTTTTATTAATCATCGTAATATAGTTTTTAGCTTATCGTGATCTTTATTTTTACTAGTCATAAATGTTTAACTTTAAAAATTCAGGATCCCAAGCGGATAAGCTGACAACTTAGCTTCGGTTTGAGGTCAAGTTAAAACTAAAACCGATTTTTGATGGTAGAAATTGTTAATTAATAATTCTCTCCAACCATTTATTCAAGGTTATATGTATAAAACCATTTCCTGACAAGTTGAATTAGAAATAAGCCGTCTTGAACACGTCAACTTGTATGATATGGAGGCATACTCGAGAGAGTTACTTAGATACGGAATAACTAATTTTCATTTTATATAGCTTATACAAGGGATAGATTGTGTTATTGCCTAAACTTTACTCTATCTTGGAAACATCAGAGTTCGTCTATGGATGCGTGCCTCTCGCAACCTCGAAACAGTAACTTAGAAAAGCTAATGGTTGGAAAAATTATTTGCAGCATATCACCAAATTTAATTGTTTAAGAAATCTTAACTTATCCCTACGCCTTTGATCCTCTTTAAAGAAGTTAACTTTCATCAAAGTAGTTAAAAACCCACCAAAAACATTTTTTTGAAATTGCCATCTGAAATCCTCTCTTTTACTGGACTTTTAATTTAATTTTTAAGCCTTCCCCAAAGGATCGATACTCGGTATTGTGGAATTGATACAGTGAATATAATCCCTGAATTCTTGGGATTATTTTTCCTTTTGTAACAGATTTGGTAGATATTTGTATAGTTTGGTAAGTTTCCTTGTATATTATCAAATCCCTTAAATTATGAGATATCAGTTAGGTCTCTAAGTTGTATAAATACCCCTTTTGCTTTTTGATGAGAATAACAATAGAATATCTCTGAAATTACATGGTATCAGAGCTACAAAGGTATCTGTTTTTAACAACTTCTTATTTGCTGTTAATAATTAGAACCAATAACCAAGGTTCAACATGCCAGAGTCCGAATCAAACTCCACCGTCACATCTACCGATCGATCAACACCAGTAGTTGACTACTCTTCGTTTGAATGGGAAAAACTATCTGGAATGGTCACAATTCTGTGAAACTCGCCATTGATGGTTGAGGTAAGTTGGGCTTCCTGACCGGTGAAACTTCAAGACCGGTCTCATCTAATCCAGGATACCGTAAATGGTGTTCTGAGAATTCTTTAGTAACTGCATGGCTACTCAATTCAACGGACATGTCCATTGCTAAGCCACATATGTTCATGAAAACCGCCAAGGAAGTGTGGGACTCTTGCTCGAGCGACATATTCAGACTTGGAGAATTCTTCCCAGATCTTTGAAATTAAAAGTTTAAAACACATCTGTGGCAAGCCAAACAAGATAACCGTGATGTTACCTCTTACTATATTACCTCTTACTATAATGAGATGGTAGCATTATGGCAAGAATTGGATCAATGCCACGATGATGTGTGGGAGAGTTCTGCAGATTGTACTCGGCAGAAGAAGAAAGAGGAGAATGACCGTGTGTTCATGTTCTGGCTGGTGTTCACCCAAGTCTCGATGAAGTTACTAGAAGAATTCTTGGCCGAAAGCCTCTTCCATCTTCCGAGAAGTTCTTTCAGAAGTAAGACTTGAAGAAAGCCGAAGAAAAGTAATGACGAATGGGATCCAACCTACTGATGTTGGGGACACAACAATTCTACTTGTTCGTGGCATTAAACAAGGGGGTGATACAAAAAAGAAACCTTATTGTGACCATTGTAAGAGGTTTTGGCACGCTCAAGACAAGTGTTGGAAGCTTCATGGCAAGCCTATCGGCGGCCGGAAGAGTAAGTTTGAAAGAGCTCTACACACCACAGTTGAAACGACTCAAGACACTCAAATCCAAGTCTCAATTCACAAAGGATCAAATGGAGCAGCTCCTAAAATTACTTAAAACCAGACCTATGTCTTCTTCTACTGACCTATCCTGTGCCTATGTGCAATATGGTAAAAACACCCCTTCATCTAACCATTCATCTTCTCATATGTGCTTACAAAAATACATCAGCCTGGATCATTGATTCAGGGGCATCTGATCACATGACTTCTTGTTCGAATCTCTTCAATTCTTATAAGCCTTGTGCAGGAAATAGAAAAGTGCGAATTACTGATGGCACTTTTTCTACAATAGCAGGAGTTGGTGATATAAAAATATCATCGGAATTCATTCTTTCTAATGTCCTACATGTTCCAAAACTCTCTTGTAATCTCATCTCTGTTCATAAACTCGCTGCTGACCTCAATTGCCATGCTTTGTTCTTTCCTTCCATTTGCATTTTTCAGACCTGGACTTGGGGAGGATGATTGGACGTGCTGATGAATGTGGTGGACTCTATACTAGATGAGGGAATCCACTCTCATAAGAAGACTTCTTGCTTCTTCACCGCATCTGATTTGAGTAATTATGAGATTTATTTATGGCACTTTAGACTTGGACATTCAAGTTTCTTTTATTTAAAACATTTGTTTCCTATGTTATTTGGTAATAAAAATCCCTCCTCCTTTCAATGTGAGATTTGTGCGTTAGCAAAACTACACAAAAGTACGTATCATCCACAACCATATAAACCATCTATGCCTTTTGCTTTGATATATAGTGACATATGGGGTCCTTCTAAGGTCACTACGTGTCATGAGAATAGATGGTTTATTACCTTCATAGATGATCATACAAGGGTTTGTTGGGTCTATTTGCTTAAAGAAAATCAGAAGTTGAACATGTTTTCAAAATTTCTATAACATGCTTCTAACTCAGTTTGGCACTAAGATTCAAATTCTTAGAAGTGATAATGGTAGGGAATATTTTACTAAAACTCAAGAGAATTTTTTAGATGCTCAAGGCATAATTCAACAAAGCTCATGCGTAGATGCTCCACCACAAAACGGCAGAGCCGAAAGAAAAAATAGGCATCTGCTTGAAATCACTCTGGCTTTACTATTTTCAACTGAAATATCAAAATATTTATGGGGAGATGCTCTTCTGCATGCTACATATTTAAAGAACCAAATGCCATCTAAAGCTTTAAAGTTTCAAACACCCATATCTGTTTTAGAAAGTTCTTTTCCAAAGTCACGATTATTTTGTTCCATGCCTTTAAAAGTTTTTGGTTACCGTGTTTATTAAGAACACCCATATCAACCTTGGCAAATTAGACCACAAAGCCCTCAAATGTGTTTTTATAGGACTCGCACCACATAAAAAGGGATTTAAATGTTATCATCCAAACACGGGAAAAAAATGTTTGTTACCATGGATGTTAAGTTTTTTGAAATTCCTTTCTTTAAATCCCGTATTCAGGGAGAGAATGAAAAATAAGACTTAAAATTCTCGGATCTAGTATTTCCAACTACATTTGAGCCATCTGCATTTGACTCAAATCCTAAAGATTGTCCAATCTGTGAACACGAGGAAAATGTAGATGTTCCAATAGAACCACCACTAGATCGAGAAAGTGAAGATAATATTCCTCCTGAAGAAACTGAAGTACCATTTGAACCTCAATAATTCACTCAAGAGGATTGTAGTGAAAAAGAAAAAAAAAACAGTTCGGAAAAGTGTATGAGCAAAGATTCCCTCCAAACAAAGAGTTCAACACAATCTCAGCTCCTGATTCCGAACTGAAGAAGGAACCATCTCTTGGTAAGCCATGTGACCTGAATGTTCCAATAGCCTTAAGAAAAGAAAAACATGCATGTGTTAAATATCCTATGCCCAATTACATGTCTTGCTCAAAAATTCTCACCAAAATACTTTGCTTTCACTTCAAATATGTCCAAAGTTCAAATTCCTAACACTATACAAGAAGCCCAAAAAAGTCCAGAGTGGAAAAAGGCTATTCTAGAGGAATTGAGTGCTCTTGAGAAGAATCGGACGTGGCATGTTAAAGATCTTCCGAAAGGTACTCCCACAGTTGGTTGTAAGTGGGTATTTACTCCAAAATTTAATGCTGATGGAGCCCTTGAAAGATATAAAGCAAGGCTAGTAGCCAAAGGTTTCACACAAACCTATGGCATTGATTACAGAAACATTTGCTCCAGTTGCAAAGTTAAATACCATAAGGATTCTACTTTAAGTAGCAACAAATCTTGATTGGCCAATTAGGCAATTTTATATGAAAAATGCCTTCTTGAATGGCAAACTAGAAGGAGAAGTTTATATGTTGCCACCACCTGGGTTTGAAAGTAACTTTGGCACAAAAGTGTGCAAATTAGAGGAAGTTTTGTATGTGCTCAAGCAATCGCCAAGGGCATGGTTTGCACGTTTCACTCAAGTAGTCAAAAGTCACAGATACAAACAAGGTCAATCTGATCATACTCTATTCACTCGATTTTCCTCCAAAGGTAAAATTACAACCTTAATAGTTTATGTAGATGACATACTCGTCACAGGTAATGATCATGAGGAGATGAAAAGAATGAAGGATCGACTTGCTAAAGAGTTTGAAGTAAAGGACCTTGGAGAAATGAAATACTTTCTAGGTATGGAAGTTGCAAGGTCAAGTAAGGGCATTCGATCGTCTTATAGACAAGTTGGGCACGTATGATATATATGCACCAACTTGAGGGGGAGTGTGGAATTGATACAGTGAATATAATCCCTGATTTCTTGGGATTATTTTTCCTTTTTGTAACAGATTGAGTAGATATTTGTATAGTTTGGTAAGTTTCCTTGTATGTTATCAAATTCCTTAAATTGTGGGATTCTAGTTAGGTCTCTAAGCTGTATAAATACCCCTTTTGCTTTTCAAGAGAAAAACAATAGAATTTCTCTGAAATTACAGGTATTTTACTGTTAATAGTACGAGAGATATGTTTCATATAAATCTCGCAACAAATAGTAGGGCTTTTCTAAAGTGATTCATCCCTAATTAAGTATCATTCCAAGTATATATTTTGGAAAAATACTATGCACATGCCTCACCTTTGATGACGTTTGAACCCTTGACCTCCTTGTAGGCTGGGATCTACTGGCAACCTGGGTACCGCTAGGCCAATGACCCTTTGGTCGCCCCTAATTAAGCTTTTCTAGGGTTCATATTTGCTTTACTGATCAACCAGCCGGCTTGGTATTTTCACTCATGATATTTTGTATGGACGAAAATCATTACAAAACTCGGGGAAATCTGTCACTTTCTAAAGATGACTCTTAATGACAAGAATTTTCCGGTGATTACAATCACAGCAAGTTAGGACACAGGATATCCCAGATAAAACATTAAAGTTTTGGTCCCACAGCTTGAATTATGGGTCATTCACACAGCTTGTTGATGTATATGCAAGTTTGTGCCCATGGGATTATCACGAGGACAACCCATGCAAGAGTGAGAACAAGTTAAGTAGATGATGGTGTGCATCTCACTAAAAAAATCCATTGCAAAAGGAGAAAGATACCTGGTGTTGAATGTTCATGGAACCACCAAACAACAAAATAGAGTAGGGGGAGGTGATGGTTGTATCTCGAAGGAATACCTTTGTTGTCTCCACCTAGAATATTAACATCAGACAGGATAAATTAAAATATTACAGTTAAAATCAAATCATCCAGGAACCGTATTACATAAAGGTTGGCCTCAAAAGTCAAGGCCGAAGGACAACAACTTGTTTGTGCTTAAATGATGACTTTGAGCACCATTTGACAAGAAAAAACCACAAAAAACCAGCATGGTGACAGCGCCTCAATGTAAAAATCAAATGCAAGGGAATGGATGCAAGTAATCCTGATTCATATGCTCTTAAATCTAGATGATGAACAAAATAATTACAGGTTTGAACAAAATATAGCAAAATTAATTATTTCAGGACAAGCCAAATCTGTTACTATTTTTTGCATGTGTTTTTTATGGTAATCCTGCAGAGGCTCTGGTCTTGTTGTTTGGGGCATCTAACAAGGCCTCTACCTGTTCTCAACTGTGGAGAACTAGCAAGTAGCCTTTAAAGCCTACTGACTCACCTCAACTGAAGGAAGGCACCGTATAGAAGACACCATTTTCTGAAACAAGTCAGAATGAGAAAAATGCTTTCACCTCCTCATAATTGCATTTCCTAGTGTTACAGGGAATATTTTTCTTAATATCGAACACTAGTCTATACCACATTCATTTCATTTCCTTGCAAATTATTTTTTGGGCCTACCATACTGTTTTCTCTTCTTCAGAAGAATGTCCTGTTGAATCTTCAATAAAATAACTATCTACAATTTGCATGGGAGAAACAGTGGATGTCTTCTGGTGGAGAAGAAGTCATATTTTTGTGCTCCAGTTTGTGAATGTGACTAAAACCACATTTTCCTTGAAATCTACCTAATCAGACATAGCAAATGATTCTAGCATACTGTACTAATATCCAGAGCCAAGATTGGAAAAATGCATACTATTGAGTCGCAAAATTAGATGTAACTTGTAAATGATTGGGGCAACTAAAAAACAGAAAATAAGATGAATCATCTCATGTAAAGATGAATCAACAATTGGATGAATAGTATAAAGATGTTGACGGTAAAATTCTAATTAAAGTAAGAAACTGAAGAGATGCTGTAACTAGATAGAGCTTAAAGAATCATACTAGAGTCATACCTTTTCCAGGAAAACCAGAAATGGGTACTGAAAAGCTTTTGAGTTGCTATTGAGAGAAGAAGGGTGAATGTGGACTTCTCTTCTTCCATCAAACCACACATGAGAGTCGTCCGATGTAGGACCTGCAGACTGTCTAAGGCTACCTAGAGCTTTCTCAGAGATGCCTTGTTCTGTGGCAGCTACATTGGGATATAAACCAGCACAAAGCAACGCCTATACATGTAAATTTAGGACCAAAAGATCAGATAATGAGGACAAATGCTACTAAACATATATCAGGTTCATAGGAAACTTCAGATTAGAAAAATTGTCAGTCAGCACCTATTAGTAGAATCTTAAATTTAAAATAATCAAAAAGATGTTTATTTCCCTTTAAAAGCAATTTGTCTTTCCTGAGTCTCAGATCACAGACATATACATGCTGCAAAAGCTAATTAATCAAAATTTCTCCTTCCTGATCATAGCTCTTAGAGACATATACATGCTCTTAAAGCCCTGTTTCTTTTTACCTGTTGGCCTCTTGCTAGGCACTGGATCAGAATACCTGAATATTGACACAAACAAATAATTTTGTTTGCCCACTCAATATGTTCTTGGCAAATTAATCTTTCAAGTGCTGACATATTTGCTAGGTGCTCACTTATTACAAATTTAAGACAAACATCGTCCTTGGCTTTTCTCAAAAACTACAGCCCACCTTAGCCTCCATGATCTTCAGTGTTTCCAGAAGCCAGATCAACCGCCTTTCCTCTCTGGCTCTACCCTCCATCATATATTCTCTTCTCTTCCTACATCGTACTGATCATGATGTACTATGGTCTTCTAGTTTGCAGTACTTGTAATTGCTTGAAGCATAACATATTTCTTTTCTAGTTCTCTCACACACCCACACATATAAAAATGACAGAATACAACTGCAAAAAGTTGATAGTTTTAGTGGAAACTATCCGAACTGAACAAGTTGATTATGATGCCAGAAATAAATCAAACAGTAGTAGGAGCAGTCTTTTCAGAATCAAAAGGTTAGGAAGAAGGTTGCAGGCAGGTGCTTCTGTCACTTTGGGTCATCAGCGGAAAAAGCTTTGAAAACAATCCGTGCATGTATGTTTGGAACCTTTTTCAAGATTTAAATCTATTATTCTTTGAAAAAAATAGATTCAATGGATCACGTTGCAGCTGCTTTTTGTTTGTTTCTGAGATTTAACCTAGTAATGTATTCATTAGTAGAGATATTGATTGACTGAAGAAGAGGGGGGGGGGGAGACCAAAAGGTGATTCTCCAATTTTTTAAATATGAACCTAAAGAACCATAATCATTTAATAGTTCACTTCAATGTCTCGTATCAGTCCAAGAGAGAAAGAAAGACAGAGGGAGGTAGAGGGAGCACAAGAGAGGGAGAAAGGAGCAAAGATACTAAACAAGCTTATAACTCGAAAGTGTAAGTAATTGCATGAAACTATAAAAAGGTATCCCTATTTCCACCCCAAAGTAAATGCAGTAGCTTACTTTTTTGCTAAGTCCCAAAAAGTTCAACATTTCTGCAAAGTTCAATCCAAACTTTCCTCTTCGCACTTTATTAATTGTTGACAAATATTAATAGCATTGAGTTCGACCCACACGATTATGTTATAGGGATATTTTAGATAGTCAACTAATAGTAAAAACACTTTATCAGACTATGCGCCAAGTCAATTTAGATGTCCTTATTTTGGGGACAGAATGATCCTAATTGACATTTATGTTGTCATTGTGCAAACTGCACTACTTCAACATGTTAAAGAGACACTTTCATCTTGAATTTGATACATGTTAAGAAAGTGGTAGTGCAAATATGAAATTGAAAAATGTTGAGAAAATACAGCAAAATATGTGTAGATAATAGCCAAGGGCAAATATACATATATCTTATCAGGTAGAAGAATTACTTTAAAACATACAAAGTTGAGATGGAAAAGATGCAGATGTATGCATATTTAATTGTTACAAGTATGTGTACCACCATACACAAGGAGATGTTAAAGGATAAAATGAGATTATATCAATTTACCACGAAGAAATATTTAGGTGTTAAAATCATCCTGCATGATCAACCAAATCAATTCTTAAATCAGCCAAGATATGAGCATTTAAATAGCAGAGACAAACACACCAACCACAAGCTTTGTTTGGTAGATCACTTGCCAAGCAGAAAGTGTAAGAACATCTGTCAAACTAATCGAGTTCAACCCAAGATTGATCCAGGCTTAGGTTGCCATGTGAACCTACCTTCAGCTACTCTCCAGACATCCCTATTACTTAGATGGGATTGACATTTGCTTTGGCCCATGTGACCCTACCTTCAGCTACTCTCCAGACATCCCTATTACTTAGATGGGATTGACATTTGCTTTAGCCTATTGTTAAGGAAACAAATAGCATTCATATATTAAATCCTATCTAATCACATATCAGATATATAGAAGTACAAGTCTTGAAGCCAAAGTAATGCAAACATAAAAGCATTCCTTGGCTAATCTAACTAAACCAAACCAAACCAAACCAAACCCTGTTTATCCCACATAGAGATTAAGGTTTGGGGGTAGGATGTACATAGACTTTTCCTCTACCCAAAGGGGTAAAGAGGCTGTTTCCATGAAGACCCCTGGCTTGAAATACAAAATTTAAAAGGAAACACGAGAGCAAGCAGAAGAGTGTGTGCAACAAGCAACAAGTATAATAAAAATCAAAGGTAGCAGGGACAAATGTGAGGATATATGACTTCTAATTTTCCTATTAAAGCATATACATAACTAATTCGCCAAAAGGAAGAGAAGACTCCTCAAGTTGGGGCATCGGCATGCACATCTTGACACAAGCCCAACCTCAGAACTTGAAACAACCTTCTCATCTCATCTGGTTCAAACGAAAAAAAAATCAAAAGGACTCCTCTACCTCAACCTTGATCTAAACCCACCATAAGAAAACCAGAACAAACCAGCGCAAACATCCCAAACAGAGCTGTAGAGGCACACATAATGTGGGGAAGTTCTGCAGCACCCTCCTAACTGTAAAGAGAAGATCAAAACACCCACTAAACAAAAACCTATGCTGGATGTATGACAGGAAAGAGCAAACAGTCCAAAAGTTTCAATGTATGACAGAGAAGTCCTCGATCTCACATACAAGACGACAACAAACAACCTGGACTTCTAGAAAACAGTAGACTCCCAGTGCTTCTCCACCGATGTGAAAAGCTCAACAGACCCAGAAGTATTACAAAAAAACAGGAGCCAAAACCAAAGTGCCATAAAACAGCAGGACCAAAATCAAACAAGTAGCAGTAGTAAAAGAGAAGACATGGACTGCTTCAAACCCCAATATTGATCAGACCTAGCAAGAACACTATCCAGTACCGAAAGAAGATAAAAAGAATTACTAATCAAACTCGAATTAAACAGAAAATGAAGCCCTCAACAGACCAAATATCGCATCAGCAACCAAGGAAGAGTGGCCACAGATCTAACCCAACAACGATAAAACACAGAAAAAGATCCAACATCATACTGCTCTACATAAATGATGACTGGTTGTTCGAGTCAACAACAAGGAAGATTGTGACATCAATAGAATCAATGGATGGTAGTTCTATTAACAAAACAACAGCAAGTAGATGACAAGTGCCAAACAGAACGGGTTGCCAGCAACTAAATGTCATGGGTGTCAGGTCAAAGGCAGCAGAATAGGATTCAGAAAACAACTGACACTCTCCAAAAAGGGTCAGAAGAAAACTACAGATTGCAACAAGATTCAGAGCAGCAATGCAGAAGAGAATAGACCATCAGAAAATTTGACCATTGCAGTCAACAGGTAAATGCCACCAGTGGTGGAACTGAAGCTCAACCTAATGCTTTGATACCACATCATAACCAGGACACATAAAACTTCATCTTATTGAATGCAAAATTAGATGTATGTAGGTACCAAGGGTTTTGGATTTAAGGAAAACTGAACACAATAGGAGAGCAGTTCTAAACCCAATACTATTAGGAGTATATAATTAGGAATAATTAACTTAAAGCAAATATACATATGACGTATAACATATTTATGCAGTGTATGCTAGCTAATTAATTTCATAAATTACATACAAACACATTAGCAAATTCACACACTTCAAAGGATAAAAGACTTAAAATTATGCATGATGCTTACCTTCACGACTGAGGAGTGACTTGAATAAACATTGAATGTTTGTGTAGTATCTGAAAACCAACTGTCAAGTTTTTCTTTCCATTTACCCCCAATCTGAAGAAGAGAATACACCAATCATTATGATCCGATAAAGAGGCAACAGATTTATGTTTATCCTGAAATGCATATGATGAAAATTTTCCGAGTGTACAAACAGAAAATGCAAAAAGAACTATAATCTAACATGACAATATATACTAATTCTATGCATTGTTAACATTAGGCAGGTTGAAACTTATTAGGAGAATCATGTTAATTCAATAATTCTCTAATATTTCTACTCAGGTCATCTTTTTTTTTTTAAAATCTCACAACTTATATAAGGAGGTTTTCATCCTCAACAATCATTTTTAGCTCTAATAAGGTATCAAATATAATTCAAAAGCCATAGTCGAAACCGAAGTCCACAAATTAGAAACCTTAGTCATAGAACTCACTACATTGCATCCACCACCCTTGCTGCTGACATCGAACCCCTGCCACCATCATCTACCCAACCTCAGTGACACTTCTCCCCCATTGCAAGCCCTAGCCTTGTCGATGGAAGGCCGTCACAAGAAAACCCTCATTTGCTATCTGCCCCAATTGCAAAACGAAACCCTAATATTTGCTGTCCACCCCAATTGCCATCTGAACCCTTCCCTGTCATGATGAAGCCCTAATAGCTGAACCCATCCATATTGTGAGGAAAACATGATATGAAGCCACAAAACAAAAGTGTTGAAACCCTAAATCATCACCTCGTTTTGCAAAGCCCTAATAGGGACCAGCGAATAGCCCAAGATGCAAACCCCTAATTCATGACCTTGTGAGCAGCTATATGTTATGTTTGACCACCTAAATACCTAATCTCTTTGCAGGCATCCACATCTGATGTGCTCATGATCAGGTATCTGCACTGTCTACTGACCTGATGTGTTGGACACCTGAATGGTTCGGACCAGCAGTTAGTTGTCTAGCTGTTCAAAGCAGCAGCCTGATGGGGTGTTGAACCAGCTTCTGCTATTTTTTCTGCAGTTCTGCTTGGTATCTATCTGATGCCTGCAGGTCCTTTTTACTGCTGAACCAATTGAATGTACTGCCGCTGCATTTTTCGTACCTTATCATATTCGTACAACTTGGGTGTTTATATTTTCTTCCCATTAGTACCTTAAAGGGACCTAGTTGGAGTAATAAAAAATGCGGTTCTGAAAATTCCAATTAAATTAAATGCCACTATTTTTTGGATTTAGTCTCCTTAAGTGTGATGAAAGGTCACTATTTGACAAAAAGACCCTCCCAATCACCAACGACCAAGGAGTGAGATGCCGATGAAAATTATGGCTTTATTCAACACTGTGGAACCCAATAGAATGTCAGCGACTATGAATTGTCGATCCTTAAAGAAGCTCTAAGAGCATATCTGACGTGTTATTCTGAAAAGTCATTCCTGGCATGTCTAATAAGAGGCATACTCTTGATGTGAATAGGGGGACTTTAGTTTGACAGAATCCTTCACATGCTCCCACAAATTGTACAAATAGCTACATACATTATTTCATCATCACAAATCCAGTTATACAGCAAAAAGGTCAAGATAAACTAGTTCTTCTCACATTCATAGGAGATCTCTCCCAAATATGCTTCATTTCAGCTTGTCTTGCTAAGCTATTCAGCCATCTCATCCATACCTTCTACATAGTATACATCACTTACTGTGAGAAATGTTCCTTACAGAAATACATCATACACTTCCACTCTTCTACCTCTTGACCTTGCTAAATGACCTACAGCAGACGAGGATTGTTGGCAAGCGTCTTAAACCTGATAAGCACTTACTGGGTAAGAGTCATCACCTTCACTTGCCGATAAGACTCTCGATCCTTGTTATCCCTCTTACTAGGTTAGCTTGCCGGGTCCTTGTTATGTTCACCGGTCATGGTAATTGAACCTGTAAGTGCTTTTAAGTGTTTAGTAAATGACCCCTTACTTTAACAAGGAGATTTGTTGTTCCATTTATTTTAACGAAACGTTGTATACTTCACCTAAAGTTTCTGTCCTACATAGAGATATGGGGACTTGAGTAGCAGGTTTAGTGTATTTTGTAATGGCTTGAAAGAGTATCCTTAAAGTAGGTGGTGATAACTATTATTTTTGAAACATTGCTACAACAATTGGATGCTGGAAATTGAATTTTTTTATCTCATCTGAATCTTACAACCTTGCTTCTTTTATATTCCGTTAATCATCAATAGCTGTTAAAATCAAACTGAAACAATTTCTTCAACTAGGCATCAGAAGTTAGTCTTTCACTTGAGATCTTGCAACTTAAAATACCTATCCTTGTGAAATACGATACTTGGTCTTACCATTTTATTACCTGAAAGGCGATAGTGTTGACGCATGTATACTTGCATAAGTTACCACTTCGTGTTGTAGAGATACAGTATCTAGCACACCAGCAAGATGTCCATTTTCTAATCAATCTATGAATGGTGAACTTGTTCTTGGAGGTGGGGATCTTGTCTCGCGGATAATCGAGCAACAATAAATATTATAATAGTCTAGAGTTAAATCTGAGTTTATTATATGACATGTTTTCACTGAGAAACTAATGAGCCTATATTCTGATGGTTAATTTGTATCCCTATAGAAAATGATCAAGTTTTTTTTTTCATAAGAGGAATGATAACTCTCATTTTGAGAGTTATTTACAACTTGTTTTCCCTTGTATTTTGTATTACTTGTTCTAATATGTCTTTTAGCTGGTTTCATTCCTTTGTAGTCTTTTTCTTTTCCTGGAGCTGCTGGTGTAGTTTGGTTGTAAGTGTGTTTTGCTCTTGTTTCGGTTGGCTGTTGAAAAATTGTGACAGCATATCATAAAATGCTGCAGTATTTGGGAAGATTCTGTTGCTGTGTGATGAGTGAATTTCGAGGAGCCAGTTACTCGGATGAAGCAGAAAGGAGTTTAAAAGGATTTTGCAAAGTTTGAAGCAGAGGGGTACAGAGTGGACAAGGCAAAATGGTAATTTTTTTACCATTTAATCTTTTATTGAAAGAAAGTTCTTCTGGAGACAGAAAAAAGGGCAACATGCTTGCTATGGAGAAGTAAAAGTAGACATGGGTCTGTTGGAGTTGGAAGAAAGCCAGTGAAAAGTAAGAAAGGTCTAATCGAAAAGTAAAAATAAAAAGACAATCCCCTCATTCCTGCTATAAAAATGAGCTATTGGGGTATGAAGAAGGCATTTAGAATTTTAGTTTATCTTTAATCTCTACTTTCCTACATTAATTTATCTCAGTTTGTTCTCGCAGTTAACCACTACCTCCTGTAGTGTGTTTCTTAGTTAATCTTTTGAGGTTATTCTCAGCCTTGTCTTTTAGAATTTACTTCTTCATTGTTGTTGTTATAAATATATAATGGGCTAACACCCTACTCGTGTGGGTCTAAACAGATCTGCGATGCAGTAAACAGCAGAATGCTGAGCTGCAGTGCTGCAACATTTCTGCTCTCACTTTGTTCATTCAAAGGATTTTAGTGACACAAACACACACTAGTTAATTAGTGATTAGATGTAGAGTTGTGTTGAGATTCAGGATTGAACTCAACGAGTGCAACATTAACTTCAATAATGCAAGGAGGGTTTGGAAAAGCCTTTAAAAGCAACATAGAAATATGTGTTTGCTTGCATAGTGTATGAACCACTACCATATTCATCATTTTCATCTTAACATTTCCATAGGAATATGACGGTTAGATATGAAGCAATTATCTTTGACTTGGAAAAGTTTAGTTTGGTCTTGCTAACAGAGCTAAAACTACTGGAAATATAATGCGACATGTAGAATTGTTGTGGCATTTTATTGCTGCAGGATGTTGTAGCATATCTGAACGCTGAAGGCAACTTAGTGAAGTTTGCATCCGCAAACTTCCCTTATTTGAGTTTATCTAAATCATTAAAAACACAAGCAATATTCTTCGTTTGTCGTCAGAAATCATTGTTTTCTCTGGTAATACTCTAAGCATTTGAAGTCCACTCCCTGTGGATTGCAACTTAACATTTTATTACTTGTTAAAGATAACCTGGAATTCTGTACACTCACACAATCCCATTGCTTATTTTTGCATATGCCTCGAGGAATCAAATGCATTAGGTTGATCGTCATCTCTAAGGAATCAAATCGTGGGTTCTCTAACTGCTCTTCCATCTATCAGCTGATTCGTATCCGGATGGACAGAGAGTGCAAACATTCTAACGAAAGCTTTATAAAAGGCTCAGATAGACTTGTTTGTGGCAAGGCCTAAGCAACATCTATGCTCCAACTTGAGCACTGTTAGACGAGTCATGTTAATTCACAACTCCTTAATATTTATATGCTTATCCTTATCAGTTTATCTTTATCTTAATTCTTAAACTATCATGTAGCCTATAACAGGAGGTTCTGATTTTCAATAATATATGAGTTCAAGCTATAATATTTCCATAACTCAAGTTGAAATATGACTACAAATGCGTAACAATTCCAACTACTTCACTAGCAGTCTAGCACAGTCGAATAAATTTTGTGGATATTTATTCTGAATGGAAGAATATAAACTTATATTCAATAGATTGGGTAAAAATATCAATGACTCAATTCAACTAAACCTTTTCCTCAAAATCAGCTGGTACAAGTGCATAGCAATATGCAAATATAGAATTTATGTCGAAAGAGGGGTAAAGCTACCTGATAATTTTTTGGGAGGTCAATGAGACCAATGTCAGCCAGCAACGTCCCAAATTGTACCCGCATGTCCCTATGATGTCAATATACAGATTAGAAATGAGATGCTCAGGGCTCATGTGCATTTGTTTTCTCTCTTCCAGTGTGCCTCCTTCAAGTGTAGTATACGCCATGTGCCATTTGATATAATGTATTTCACAGATCAATATACACTGTACTGAGTCAACATGACAAAGAAATGAACAAGATCGATCCTAACTGGCTTGGGGCTGTTTACCAAATGCTTACCTAGGTAAGCGCTTACCAAGTCACATTCCTTTACCGGATGAATATGACAAGGACCAAGAATCTTACCTGGTAAGACCGAAGGCAAGGACTGAGAGTCTTACCCGGTAAGTGATGCGACGACTCTTACCACGGTTAGCGCTTACTGGGTAAATTGTTACGTACGATGTCGTTTTGATAGACTAAAATCTTACCTGATAAGTAAGATATATAGTTGAATTTTATCATTAAGCGCTTATCGGTAAGTGTTTAGGTAAACGGCTATACGTGAACTGTTCTGATGCACCAGGATGGATAACTCCAAATACTTTTGGTAAAACTGATTGTTTCTGTTGATCTTTTAGCTGTACTCAATACTCTTAGCTTTGAAGAAAACAATAAATTATTCCTAATTTTATGCCAAGCAAATCAGGTTGAGTTATGGGGTTAAGACTTATATGCACACACACACACATCATATAGTGTGCATAGCTGTTTGAAACTGTGGACAAAGATGACAAACCTTATCATGTACATAACAGAGCTGCTCAAAAAATATGATTTGCAGAACCTTTCTGCATCTTTAGCTCCATTCTGCACGAAGAGTGTTGCATTTGTAAGCAGGGAGCTTTATTTTTTGGACTAGTATAAATAACTCATATAAAAGCATGATGAATGGTCTTCTGAATCGATGGGATTGAGATAATTGCTGATGGATAATGCCTTGATGGTTAATATGATGCATGCCAGTACGCAGACATTCAACCAGGCATTAGCAGTAGCATAATCGCATAAATAAAAATGGCAACATAGAAGTGCAAGTTATTGGTGAACGAACAGCTATGGACAAGGAAGGAAGTGCAACAGCTGCTATAGTTTTGGCTGAGATCCTCGCACTGTCGAACCACAACCAAGATTTCCAGGTTATAAAAGCAAACTTATGCAGACAAGTGTCCCATTCGACTTATTCATATATCATTGCTTGCAGTTGGAATACAAATTAAGCATCAGGCTTGCATTTGGGTGGTAAACTATCATAATGACATTTCCTTGGGATATATGGCTACACATAAAAAAAGGATCTAAGAGAGTAAGAAGAAAAAACTTCCTTAGTACAGAGCCAGGCTGGATAAAAGGAGTTGGATAACAGACAAATAAATAGTATTTTTGATCTTAAGTATGTTCGTTCAGTTCAGTCTATATTTCACACATGCGATAGGAGTATAAATAGGAACCTTATACAAACTTGAATATACTAAGATCTCATCTGATACATGCAAGTCCTTCAACATAAACATTGTTTTTCATCCCAAAACATGACTTTATTCCAAAACTAACGCAAAATATAAATTTTACAGGAAAAATCAGAAACAAACAGATCCGTATCTGTTATTATTCAAAATCAGTGGGAATAGGTTAAAAAGAAAAAGCCATCATATATAACAAAGATGTAAACACATTCAGGAATGACCTTGAAACATGATTACCATTTGTTCATGCTCTTTTATCTAAGGCCAACCCTTCAGCTAAACACTTTTCACCACTACCCCCATGTTAATCTTGGTCCATTACTTCATCGTCTCTTAGTAAGTCACCCCCTCCTCACCCTTCCAATTCAAGCATCAAATAGTCTACTTGATCCAACGATCTGTAGTGGTGCCCTCATTTTCTCAATCATGAGTACCACCCTAATCAAATTCTCTCAAATATCTTATCCTTGACTTGTGCACCCACAACTGACATGCAGCATTTACATTTCCACTACAATGATGTCATGTACTCGGTGTGTAGACAGCCCAAAAACCTGAACCATGTCCAGCTTGAGTGAGATTTCATGATAAAAAAGGACTCCATAGACAAGCTGCTTCATCCACCCTACTCATGTTATATAACTAGCGTTTTCATCCACTTTCCATTTTAAGATCAAGAGAGAAAGATATACTTCTTAGGTGCATCCTGACCAACATACTAACCACATCTTCAATCTACCATCACACAGAATGGAGTTCCTCTTCGAGCATTATATTGTTTGGTAACTATTTAAACCCTCGTATTCTAAAACTTTTGCAAATGATACCATTTCATATTTGTATATTTAAGTATTGGTCATGCTAGCAGTGTTGCTTTGACTTCCACCAGTGTAGTGGCTTGTAATATGGAATGCTCCAACAGGGCATGCATAACCAAGCTGCTAAATGAAATCAGAAAAGCAAAACTTGCAATAAGATGAATTTTCTAGGATTCATAGAAGCCAGAAACGAACTAACCTCCCGTAAAATTTTCTCCCATTTCTTATATGCAATCATCATCACCAAATGGTCAGACTGGCGATTCCCATTATCCAGATCATTTTCACCACCAACTTTATCAATCAATAGAGCAGACTTTGCTCTCTCGACAGCATGCCTCTGAAGTTGAATTTTTTTATTTTATAATGCATCTTAATTTCCTTCAAAAAATACAGTGAAAACATTTGAGCTAATAAAAAAAGAACCTCATCCTTTGGGTATATAAATGGTGATTTGTAGCTCAAAAATGCTGAGATCGATAAGATTGGTGATAAGCAACCGAATATTCCACCATATAACATCATCTGCATTGACAGAAACCATCAAAAAAACATACAACTGTTTCTTGTAATGCAAATGAAGGAACATTATAAACACATGCACACAAGATCACTTTGCCAACAAGTTGGCACAAATCAACAATGTGTAATCTCAAAGGTTCATCGTATGTCATCCATGAAAATGTTTTATCAAAAAGTTTGTTGAAGAAAGTATTGGACGACTGAATCTTACAGAATCACTTACAAGGGGATACGATCAAGATGATAAAAGTTATAAGATTTGAAAGGCTGATACAAGTCTAGAATGCTGTATATTATATATTTTGTCTTTGTAAACAACAATAAAGCTATGGTTAGTAATTAGCTCATTCCTGTGTTGATTGTAATCTTCAAATCCCAAAGAAATCTTGTGGGGAGTAGTATTAAGTTTCTATTTTTTAATTTTTTTTTTTTTTATTAACCTGGATATCCAACCCGCTATGCGAGCCGACTAATCCCAGGGAGACTACCTGCTTTGCAGATAGCCCGGAGTCACCGCATTTGAACCTCCGTGGCCACAAGGGATTTTTATTCCTCCTTGGATTTGAACCTGTTTTATAGAGCAAAAGAGCAGGAATTGACTTTTGAAATCTTCAGTTAATATCTCTAACATGTGCTGCTAACTTTTGCTTATGGCTAAAATCTGAATAAGTTCTAAAATTAAAACTCTTATCTTTTTCTTGATCCCTACATTTAGTTCCCGTTTTTCTTTGTTTTTTTCTTCTACTTCTTTTTGGAGATAATGTCATTTTCCCAACGAATCAAATGTGCTCTTCAACCATCAGTCTGAAAGACGACGCTCATATTCAGTCGGAAGAGTTTAGGTTAGACTTTCAGAGTGATTAGAGCGGCTTTCTCTATTTCATGAAGATGCCGTTCTCAAGATAGGATTTTTGGTTGTAAATCAATGTGAATAGCGCTACTCTCCCCACTTTCAGCCAACACAGTTCAGCGAACTTGCCTCTGGTCTGGGGAGAGTGCAAACTTTATTGAGAGTACATTGTAGTATGCTACAAACTAGCAATAGAATATAATCCAACTATCATTAGAAGATATAATTATAATTCACCAAAACATACTACAAGCAAGAACTTCAAAGATATGTAGAATACTAGAAACCAAGTGAGCAAACCTTTCCAATTAATACATCAACAGGGAGTTTTGCCAAATGATACCCAAGAGGCGTCAACTCTTCATCACCTTCAATGGCACCAACCTGAACCATATTCCAGTCAATGCATAGAATGGAAACTAAGCACATATAAGTTGTAATTTTGATTAGGCTACATGACACTATTCTGCACTAGCATGTGCAATTAACAACATTAATCAATTTGTTGCATGACACACGAAAGGAAAGCTATAATAGGCATAAGATCCTACGATAGCTTACCAACAATCTCCAGTGTGTGACTAGCAATGCAACTTGTATCCGATGTTGACAATGGAAACACATTTTATCTGCCAACATGCAACTTGTACTGATGCAATCTGTGAAGACGAAGAATGAACTGATTTCTAATGACCGAGCATGAACAGCGATTTCTAATGCGCCCACCTATTCTAAATGTGAATCGAGACAGAAATTTAACCAGTTCATTACATGGTGCAGACAACGTTACAGAAAAAACCTACAACTTCCACTAGCCACAAAAGTCAAAATAAAATAATTTTTTAAGGGCATTGATGAATCATGAATATCAGGTAGTACACTTCTACAGCCAAGGAAACTGTGAAAGTATTCCATACCTTCAATGTATATGATACAGGCATCATGATTTCCTCAAACTTGAAAACTAATAGCTAAGCCGAATCAGTACTATCATTTACATTAGGTTGCATAATACTTGTTAACAATATTAAATGAAGTTACTGCAGGACATACGATAGAGAAAGTTACCAAATTAGCAAGGTTCTATGAGAACAACCTCGGTAGTGCCGAAAACATGTGTTTGCACAATCTATTAAGACCAAGTCTGAAATTTGAACATAGTTTTATTTTTTGTGTCTATCCATTCTAAATCTGAACAGAGTCTAAAGTTTAGGATCATAAGGCAAGGAAACTATCTAATTGTACCAACATAATTTTAGGATACTATCTAACTATTCCAGCATAATTGCAGGACAACAAAATAGCAATCCCCTGAACTTGAATTCTAACTCTCTTAGTTTAGCCAAATCGATCCCATGAGGTTCCTATCAGGCTAACAAGTAGAACTTTGCTTTTTCCCTTTCGAGCAAAAACGTTGGATAAACAGACTGACTAAGTAGGTTCATTTCTTCTCACATGACTGCTTAAACATGCCAAAGATTCATGTATACTTCAGCCACCAAGGTAAAGTGGCAAGTCCTACTTTTGATAGTGAAACACTATATATACTTCTACATTTGGTATGTACATTATTATCTACCATCATCAGTGAAAGAAAAGAAAAAAAAAATCATATCTAAAGACGCAAACAGGGAGTACGGGCCATTAGCCTACAATAATGAGATTGCTTCTAAGATTTTTTTGCAGGCATTGTTGTTTAAGTAGCATCAATGCATATTATCTCAAAATGAAGCCTCTGTATCATATATATGAAACTGAAATTCCAGGTAAGCTAGTTGTAGCAAAGCACAGCATCATCATAATACCTCATATAACAATGAAATTGCTGAAGTAACGGCCTCTTCTGTTGGGGGTTCAAGGGCCTACGGGCATGATCAAACAGAAGATATAAATTACTAAATTAGTGAAGGAAAAATAAGATGTACCTAGTATTCTACTATATATTTTATGTTACCTTCTGTAAGAATGGCATTATTCGACCCAGAGAAAGTAATTTAATTTGCAAACACAATTCTACCAATGGCATCCGCAGCATCTCTGGAAGCTTCACCACAAGAAAGAGCATATCAAGGTGGGCACAAATTAAAATCCACAAAGCCTACATATCTCCATAATAATCATACCTGAAATGGCCGCATGAGCTTTTCAAATCTGTGACGTGTATACAAGCAAAAGCAGATTCCTGGTTTCACACGTCCAGCTCTTCCCCTTCGCTGCCTTGCATTAGCTCGGGATATCCAATCTTCAACCATGCTTGACAGTTTCTAGTAACATCACAAAAACACACTCAAACCAACTTCTGTACCACAAGGCGTTTTATACATTTTTTTGCCAAAAAATTGAACTGATAAGATCTCAATGAGATCAAATTGAAAATGCAAATGGCTCGTCTTTGGATGAACCATTGACCCACAGGAATCCGAGACCTAAAGATTAAGACCTTAAAGACTACCAACAAGGTGGGTGAGGGGCTTGAGAAAAATCCTTAGCAGAAGGAATATGCCTTTAAAAACTGAGACTGAATTCTTTCATCAAGCCTGTCAATATTGAAAAACCAAAAAGACCAACTGCACATGTGTGATAACCGGGTTTTTGGTTATACACTTGAGGTAATATTTACATGATTATTTGATTATGTGAATATGTGCATATTTATATATGTAAAAATATGTATGCATGAGATTGTTAATATGCATATGTGTATGCATGTTTTATATGTTAACATGCATAAATTGTGGAAGTAAAAATATGCAGGGTTATTCTTTTGGGAATTTTTCAGTTGTAAATATTGTACATATAGAATCCTTGTACTAGTGGGACCTATGTGGTGTAATCTGTATTTCTTTTATATGAAATATATGATATATGCAAATGTGGAGTATGGGGTGTCACAAGATGGTATCAGAGCCTGAGTTTAAGAGATTTTAGGTATTCAAAGCATGATGCCTAAACTTAAACTATTAATTGCATATTAAGGGGTCCCAGACATAAACAGCACCATTGGGAGTAAATATAATGGGTTAAAGAGGGCAGTATGTAAGGTAAATTCGAATTACAAGTGACCAATGTAATTATGAATTTACAGGTACGTGATATTTAATAATTAAATATCTGCAGATGGCAAGTCGGTCTAGAAGGTCTGAAAGGATCACCTGCCCTAACCCCGATGATAGAGAGCAATCTCCCAATAATGCTCCAACCGATGCTTCTGAAGGCAAAGGCAGAGGTAGAGGAAGAAACAGGGGCAGAGGCCGTGGGAGACGGCAGACAGAGTCAGTCAGAGATACATCTAGGGTGAATCTATTTCAAGGAATGCCAATCAAGAGCCAGCATCACAACCAGAGCATGTAACTAGAGATGTCATGGCCGAGGAAATGAGCAAACCAAGAGAAACTCTGGTATCTATTATGGGAATACCAGCCAGAGTTGAGACTGAACGAGTTGAAATAAATCCACCGATTCCAACAGCAAGCCAAAGAGGGGGAGCCATAAAAATGTTTTTAAGACGTAAACCCCCAATATTCTCGGGAAAAAGAGATCCGGTAAAAGCTATGTGTTGGATAAAAGAGATTAAATCAGTGTTTAATACCGGAAGATGTTCCGAGGAAGACAAAGTAAGATTTGTTGTGTCTATGCTAAAATCCAATGCTTTTTACCGGTGGGATGTAGAGTCACTAGAACAACCTAATATTTTGAGAACTGATATTTTGAGAACTATGTCTTGGTCAAGATTTGTTGACAGATTCAGAGAATAATTCAGCCCAAAAGAGGCTGTTAGACAGATGGAAGAAAACTTTCTGAAATTGGAACAGGGCACCAGTCAGTACGAGATTATACAGAAACATTTATTGAACATTCCAGATTTGCTAAGCATTATATTTCTTCTGAAAATAGAAAAGTTGAAAGATATATCTGGGGATTGAAACTTTCAATTCGGGAATTTGTAATTGCGATGAGTCTTACTTTTCCTTTGGCTGTAGCCAATAAAAATCGGCAAGGGGAAGAAAAAGTATTTGAGAAAAGAAAATGGGAAGGATCATCAGCTAGATTTCGAAGACCAAAATTTATAAAGATGGGTAAACGACCAATTCAACAGCCAGCTGTTAGAACCTGCCCGCGATGTCAATAGGTTCATTATGGTAATTGTCAATCTCACCCAAGAAAATGTTATCGATGCGGTGGATCAGGTCATTTATCAAGTATTGTCCAATTCCTAAGAGATGTTTCCAGTGTAATTCACCGGACCATATTAGACCAAATTGGCCACAACTAAGAGCTCCGCGACTGACTATGGGAGGAAATACCCCAAGTACTCGGGGAAGGCCGAATGTACCAAAGGGAGGACAGGGTGTTATAACCCGGTTTTAGACAATCTGGGTTAAGGTAAAATTTTACGTGATTAATATTTGAATATCTAATGGTATGCATGATAAAATAATATACATGGAT